CAAAACCTTTCGCTGTTGATTCACCTCTGCCATATCCATTTGGCCTATTTTACTTTTTGGTAAGTAAAAGCGCCTCACTTTTCAATTATACCCTCCTAGCTCAATGGAATCCGTTCAAAATCCTATTTCCGCATAGTCCTTACGACCACCTAAGACAAATAGCGCCGCATAGTAGGAATCGTCTCGGTTTCTATAGGAGCTTTGTGCAGGAAGAAATCGATATTCCATAGCATGGGAAAGATTGAATCGTCGTGTGTTAATGAACCGATTTCTTCACTTCCATAAAAACATGTTCCTTTTTTAAAGGCCCCATTGGGGACTTCATTAACTCAAATGATTACTGCGGTTAACTCCTCTTGCTGAAGTCATGGTCTACCCTTGGCGCTGGATTTTCCAGCTTTCTGTTTGGAAGTCTTAGTTCAGCCTTCAAGTGTGCTGCTTTTGTAAGCATGATGTATGCTACTCCCGCCCCAATGTGGGAGTTTGACACAAAAACTCTGAACTCAGCGTCATCGCAGTGCATCTTGAGTGGCCTTATGTGATTTTCACCAGTGTTCCCTCTCTGTGCTCGGCATCACATAGGCAAATTGTGGAACAACGCTCTTCTCTTCAGGATATGTACCAAAAGATGGTCGATGTGGATCCGAACGAGCCGACTCCGTTGGAGCACCAACAGGCGGCCATTACGAAGCTGCGATACATGCAGTGGCGGGAAGAGCTCAGCTCCTCTGCAGATTTGGGTTTTCGGATAGAAGGCATCAAGGTAGGCTGTCTTTCTAACCCTCTAAGAGATTCCTTGAGCATTGATATTGACAGAGTAGATGTTTTCATCACCCTTCAAATCACTTTTTTTGCAGTAAGCTTGTGATCTTAAATGACACCTGTTGAACTTATGGAAGCTTTCTATGAAAGGAACTTTTTATTTAGTCCATTTAAATTTTGGCAACCTTTGAAAGTGCTAAAAACCGCAGTGGTTTTGCTCTTCGTTTGTTTGCCTTGCGGCTGTAAATCTAGCTCAAGCTGTGCTTTCCGTAACGAAAAAGTTAATTGTTTCCCCACCTAGGCTAGGGTAATAGGAGAGGGATAGATTACGTCGTTTCCTTAAGTGACTGGTGAAAGGAACATACTTATGAGCTGATAGGTTGTAATGCAAGTTCTGATAAAAATTGCTCAAGTACCCAATCACGCTTATTTCTTCGAAAGCTACCAACCCATCATAAATGACCCTTGTTTTTTATCTAGACTCCTGAAATCCGACTTCCAGTGAAATCATCTTAAATCACTTTGCTTAATTCTCTCGTCTGTTCCCCCTCTTCGTTTGTCAATAAGGTCACTTTAACCTTGACAGGATTTATCTGTGGGCCAGGATAATTGAATGAATTTGGTAAGCCAATTTGTAGGCGTTCTAGCCTTGTTGGACCGGGTTTCCTTATTAACTCTTTTCACTTCAACTACATTTTTACCCCTCCTTCAAGCATTTTCGAATGACTGCTAATCGAAATTCTTTTGGCGCCACCGGTGTACTTATGTATCCATTTTCCATGAGAATAAGTGAATACATGCGTTTTGCTCTCCCTTACCGTTTGCGTGAATGTAGCTTTTCTGCGAGTGTTTATTGGCCACACATTCCCATCGACCAGCGATTTAATCATCTCACAGTATCCTTTGGAGAAAAGATGCGAGTTGTTAACCTTGCTGTGGTGTCTTCTGTCATTATTGCATCGTAAGCATGCGTCCGAAGCTCACCTTCCTCTGGCAGCTTTTTTTACGCACCCTAAAACTACTATCTTGTAAATTTGTTTTCCTGTTTTTTGACCTCTTTTCATCAATACCTATTTGAACTCATTTTCGGAGCAGTATGTCATGAAACAGTGGTAACCTTGTGGAGGATTCCCTACGGTGTTTTTTCCTTTTCTAAACTTCTTTGATGTAGGAAGTCATAATCGTTGCCCTCAATGGTTTGCTAATTTTTCACAAGTTTTAGCCGACATGTTGGTCACACACTATCACTCTACGGGTCTACGCTGTCCTTGGTTTACAGGTTTTCATTTCGTCTACAGTGAATACTAGTGCAGCCTCTTGAGGTTCCGCCATCCCCTCCTTCCTAGATCAATTTCACACATCAGAACCGCCGTAGTTTATTTATCACTATTTGATGCCTTATTTTTCGAACCAAGTCGTTACTGAAGGAAATCTTTGCAAAATTGCATACCAAATACATGTTTCCTGTACATAAACCAATCCTCTTCTTTCACCCAAATCAGGACATCTAGCCTAATTCATTGCTTTTACCAGGACCATGACACCAAGCCTTCAAGGGACTTTAAGCGTCTCAAGGAATGGTCAGATATCAAAGGATGTCTCAGCAAATTCACCGAGGGCTCTAAACACTTACAGGCACGTTTAAATTCATATTTCGTTCATAGCTACTTTGACTATCTGAATTTGGTTCAATACAAGAGGAAAAGGGTAGAGTATGTGGTAAAAGGCACTAGCGAAGTGGGTCCTGTTGACAGAATTGGAATTGTTGACTGGTAATCTATGTACTTTATAATATTGTAGGCAACCTACCTCAGGAGATTAACATCACTGCAGAA